AACCCATTGATGACGACGCTTCGATTGAAGACACTCATCTTTAGAGAAGTATTTTCAATAGTCAAAGTTATATTATTCAAGACTTTACATTGAAGTCATTGCCCGAGAAACCTCGGGGAATTTGAAATTTCATGATGTATGTCAAATTGTAGTTTCAAACGGTCACTATGGTGCATATCTATAATGGTGAACCTGGTGATCAATTTTGTTGCAATCTAAACGCATGCATCTTTTCTGTTCCTTTCATGTTGATGTTCTAGACCCAGATATGACCTCCAAAAAACTTTAGAGAAAAAGTAAATTAGATTAGTAAATGGTTAATATTAAAAATAAATTATCATAAAATGATTAGTTCAGTGACAACACATAGTTTGGTGTTAGGTGATCCAAGAAATTTTGATAGCCCGTGATGCACTTTCTAGGAATTTTGTTGTAATTCATCCCATGGGTGGACAATCTAAACCAAAAAAGTTAAAATAAACTATTTAGAATTAATAGTTAAAATAAGTAAATAGAAATAATGTTATAAACTTACTTTATTGCATAGGGGAATGTGAAACTGTTGAATTCGACAAGTGTTAGGGACGACAATCTCAACAACCACATGCTTGGAGCAAAATGGAGCATCCATAAAATGTAGATGTACCTTTCTTTGCATTTTTACACAAAAAACTGTAGAGATAGGACAAATAAGTGGAACGCCGACTATATTTTCTTGTTTTATCTATACTTCTTAAAAAAGATAAATACATAATATGTACACTACAATTAGTACTAACGAAAAATAATAATGAGTCAATTAGTAGTATAGTATAACATATAATTTTAATTATTTTTTGTTCTTCGATAGAATTTTTGCTTAATTTATATCTCGGAATAATTTTTAAGGCACATAAGTAAAATACCTTACCCCTCAAATTACCATCTAACAAATCGACACCAAAAAGTTCCTCGCATATTGAATTCACTAAGTTGGTCTTTTCATTAACCGTTTTATCCTTAATAGGTAAACTCAATAACATGCACACTTCCTCTAGTGTTACGGTATATTCACCAGTTGGAAGAAATAAAGTGTGTGTTGTAAGTCTCTACCTTTCTTGTAAAGCGAAGATAAATTTAGAATCAACATAGTAGGACATGATTTTAACAACACGAACAAAACCAGCATGCTCTAAATAAGGTTGAATAAACTCGCCACGTACAATATATTCATGGACACGTGTACGAAATTTCAATAGGTCCTAAAAACACATAAATATGTTTTTCCTAAAAATAATGGATTAGAAAATTTTAAATGCAATCATAGCAAAATAAAAACTTACATAATAATTAATATTGTCGATGGTTCCTCTATGAATTTCTCTAATGTTCAAGAGATCCATTTTTCTAATAAGAAAATATAAGACAATGTGAATACTTGAGTAAGATTATAGTGTATTTGTTGGTGATAAAAACAAAGTGAGTTAGGGTGTTATTTATAGTGAAGTGAGTGAGGTAAATTTGTGAAGTGTTGGTGAGAAAATAATTTCAATTGAATGCATGTTGTTGAGCCTTCATAGCTGATTATATGCATACGAAATGAACACACCAACTCAATTGGCACTGATGTACATTTTTCAAAGCTTGCGCCAATTGGACCGACGACTCTTGGTTGTAGAGTTGTTGCAGGTAGTCATGTTTTGCATGCATGCAAAAGTAATAGGCCACCTCAATTGCCATTGATGTAGATATTTTGAAGCTAGTGCCAATTGGAGTGTCTCCTCTTGGATGTTGCATTTGTTTGTATTCATAGCCAGTATACATAGCTGGTTAATGCAGAAGTCATTAGGTTTTGCATGCATGCAAAAGTAACAAGCCAATTGAATTGGCGCTAATTTATATATTTTGAAGGTAACACTAATTGGCGCATACAGGAAGTGCCAATGTAATATTCAGCTCTATTAAAGGTCTCTCAAACAATTCCAATCAATCCCAGACCAATCTAAAAAAAACTCAAGATATGTCTTATGCACCCAAATACATTATTAGTGCTCACATAAATGGAGATACATATGTCTTTGAAGTATCCGAATTTGGTTTCTAAAATATCGATATTACCCAATTTGCAATTAATAGAAAATCAATTTTTTTGCAATATAAGGATTCCAACAACGGTGGAAATCCAATCCGAAATTAAGAAAACCTTAACCTAAAATTCAATGGGTAACAATAAATTATTAATTTAGATGTTTGTGCAACATTATGTGACAATGTTGACTATTACATATTGAGGGTTGAGTTTTTTCAAACTCTTAATGAAGTTCAATGTTGAGAATATGTTTCTCAATGAAAATAGATACAATATGAACTTCACCTATGTGAATTTTGAGATGGTGTTCTCTCAAAGTGAGAGTTGAATTTACTCTCATGAAAAATTTACGAAACAGTAAAAGCACATAGCCATAAATAGTGCTAGGTGAAAGATGTAGGCGAAGAACCATTAAAGAATGTGTGTAAGGTAAGCTGATATAATCACAAGGAATAACGATTCAAAGTATTTATACCTAAAATTTTGGTTAGACTTTGCGTTATCCTTACTATGGTTAAGTTTAAATCGAAAAATACTTAATTGTATTAATATTATTTTTTTTCTTTTTATAGAATTAGTCTTGTCATTATTAGACCAAGTAGGGGATTCTTGTAATTCATGAACAATAAATGTCCATGTGGGTGTTCTGAAATGACAAGAAAAGTGAGTAAATACCAATAAATACATTGAAAATAGTCTCACAAAAAAAGTGACACTCACATTAAAAGCCTTTATAAAGAGTTATGTTCATTAACTTAACGAAAGAATAAAAGAGGATAAAATATCACATGGATAAGTATGGCGGTCCCATGCATCATGTCACTTGTCTCCTCCATTCACCCTCTTGTTGGTGTCTTCATCGACAACACTGACTTCGGTTCTAGGACCGTGTCCGAGGGTGCGGACGTAGAGGCGCTAGTGGCGGCTCGTAGGAGGTATTTGAGCACTTAGGCTAGAAGCATGGGAGCAATCGGGCTACTTATAATGTTATATGGCGGCACTGGTGGCGCTCTGATAACCAACCTTTGGCCAGCATGTTGCGGCAAGCCGTCACATATGGAAAATGGTCGTTGCTCTTGACTTTTGATCATTGCTTGAGTTTGAATTTTGAATTTGGAAATAGGCAACACTTTGTGAAATGTTGCTCTTGAAAAATGTTGTTGTATGTGAAACAATACAATTTTTGGTAAAAGTGTTCCTGAAAGGATATTGTTTTATCAAGGGTTACAACCTTGTGAAACAACAACAACATGCCTTATAAATAAATTACTCTGAATTCATAAATCAAATCACAACAACCGTTCACGATTTCAAAATGAATTCATTCAATATAAAAGATTTGTCTAATAGTAATAACATCTTATAAAGGTTGGTCCACCCAATACATTGCTGGATGTAAAATCAACTTTTTTAATGAACAATAGAAGACAAAGTTTATGTTATGAAACCACCTAAATTTGAACTTAGTATGTGTTTGGATAAGTTTTTAGCCATGAAACTCACGTTTGCAACACATTCCATGACAAAATTATGTGAAAAAGTTAAACCTCCTAATTCAAGTGTTGAGAAAACCTACGTCTAGATCCCTTGAAATATAAAAGCATAGTGACACTTAAAGGAGAAAAAGAAAAGGTATTCAAATTAAGATATGATCTATATGGCTTGAAGTTAGTTCCCTAGAGCTTGAACAAGATAATTCTTACCTTCTTCGTCAAGATAGGGACCATGATTCCATGCAGTTGTGAAATGGTGCAGTCACACAATCATTGGATTATAAACCATTTGATTGAAATCTGATGACACAATTTTAACATAAATAACTATACTAAATTTTAATGATGATATTGTATGGCTCAGATTCACCTGCAATCACTATTTAACTGCAGGGAAATCATTTTCGTCAAGATAGGTTTTACAAAGTTACGCCGAGCGACCCACTAACGTGAGCTACTATGTACTAGACCATTTTTGGTGGGACACACTTCCACCTTATACTATGAATGGCTTCATTAGGGATATATTTGACCTTACGTCTTTCTGTTTTTGCTATTTGCTTTGATGTGATGTGTCAGGTCATGTTTTCATATCCAGTTGATTTTCTTTTTCATATGACATTTTTTGTTGGAGTATGAGCATTCATCTTCGATACTCATTCCGTCTCAAATTATAAGACGTTTTGAGTATTTCACACATATTAAGAAAAATAACAATTATTGTATAAGAAAGAGAAATTATATATAACTTTACACTTTTATCCTTAATTAATTAGGGAGGAAAGAGAAATTAAAAAATAAATAGCAGAGAGTATATTGAAAAAAACATAAATAATGTTGTATTGGAATTAGAAAGTAACATATAAATTATGACATATTTTTTCCGGTCGAAATATCTTATAATTTGAGATAAAAAACCCTTAATTCTTCCTTATTAATATATCTATACTTAAGAGAGAAAAAAACTAAAACGGAAAGAAGTAATTTATAAAAAAAATACTAATTTTATTTCCCTATTTCTCAAACTACTATTTGCACTTCTTTGACCGTGCATTACTTAATTTTTGTTTGCTCAATGGCTAATTTTACTAAAAAATGACCACCCATATTATGCTTATACAATCAATGTCTCAATATAAGTGAGATTAATCACATCTCTACACCATACAATAACACATACACGTTCCTCTCTTGAAATTAATAGTTGATAAATCATTTTCGCTGTTTTATATTTCTTTGGTTCAACCGAAAATAATTTGTTATATTCTAGACACTAGCATATTATACAGAAAATCGATCAACATTATCAACGCTTCTCATACTAACTATTAGACTTTAACAAATTTTCTAGAATAATGAAATTCGAAATATACAGAAAATGATAAAAAAAAAAAACACAAAGTTACAAAAAAAAATTGAACTAATTTCATCAAATGAGCTTAGGTTGCATAGCACTGCATCTGACCAACACTATTTTTCAATCCAACGGCTCCAGTCTTACACTTTCTCACTCCATCCAACGCTTCAGATTTCACTGACATTTCTATTACTCTTTCCACTTACAACAACGAAACTCTACTACTCTTTTGCACCACCGGTTCCAGATCCACCGGCGCCGGAGCCTCCGAACCGGAATATCCTTCCCGCGGAACAGATATCGATGAAGCAGGATCTTGAGGCAAAACCGGCGCAACAGAAGGAGCATTACTAAGATTCACCGTAGAATGAACACGAACAATTCCAATTTCCGGCGCAAGCGCTTGCGTTGGCTCTGGTACTGGAGGCTCAACCGGATGAGAGGTGTCTTTCCGGTTGTCAGTGAAGTTGAACGAAACCGAATTCGGGACTGGATCAAGAACCGTTTGATTCTCCGGAGAATGCAAAGTCGTTCTTGATGAGAAATGATGGTGATCTGGAGAATGAATATGACTGATATTAGACCGGAGATTGATAATTCCGGCGAGGCCGTGAACAACGACGTGACGGCCGTAAAAGATTTCCGGAAAAGAAACTTCCACGCCGCCAACAAAAGTAACAGAAGAAGGAAAATGACGCGTGACTCTAAGATGGCGCGTGTGAAGAAGTGTAGGGAGCGTGTAACCGTTTGGAAGGAGGCGAAGCTCTCCAAGAGAGATACTGCGAGGGATGATGTGGTAACGGAGAGTATCTGTATAAGACGACGCCGTTTGAGCCATGTCGAGTGCGAAGAGGGAGGAATCCATGGGAGCGAAGAAAGTGAAAGAGTGTGTAACGGTTGAATTAGCGTTGTCGGAGGAGAGAAGATCGAATCGGAGATCGGAGGTGAGGATTGCGTTGCAGAAGAGATGGTAGCCTCTTGATCGGAGAGTGCTGAGCATTGAGTTTAGTTCTCTGTTGGGGATGGAATTCACCACCGTGATGGTGTTGGCAAGAAGAAGCAGCGCCGCCATGATCCACACCGTACGAAGAGGAAAAATCGAACTCATTTTCGCGGGAACGTTTTCTTTCTTTGAAATTTTAGTTTGATGGTGTTTTCTGTTTTATATGGTTAATGACTTAACTACCATTATATCAATAAAAAAATGTCATTTCAGTAATGATTCCTTTTTATTTTGAAACGTTATAACATATTAATCCAATAAGAACTTGTGTTAGATATTTTAAAATATCTCAAAATTGTTAAAATACTGTTTGTTTTATTTAGTTTTGTAGAATTGTTATACAGTTCTAAAATTTTGAAAATAATAAAATTGTTGTTAAGTTAATTTAAGAGTTAAAAAAAATAAATAAATTTTAGAGGTTTTAATTTTTAGTTTTGAAAATTAAGAAGAGAACAAAATAAAATAAAGAAAAGTTATACAAATTTCATTAACTATAAATGTTTAATATTGTTTAATTTTAAAATTTAAAAGAATTTTTATGAATCATTTTACTTTTATGACTCCATGTTGTTAGTGTATAAGGTGATGAAAAACATAAAAAATGAGAGAATATATTTATTGTTCTGCAATGACAGCTACAAAAACTAAAGGAAGATTAGAATTATAAAAGACAATCATTACTAGTCTATTTATACAGAGAAACTAGGGTCACACAAACAATATACTAAAAGTAATAAATTACCCTATGTGATCCGGTGGGAGAACTGACTTGAGGTTTTGCGTTTGTTTTCGCAAATGTTTCGGTTTAGCAAGAGTCGTCACCGACTTTTTATTTTATCCTAAGGAAAGGTTAAAAAGCACAGTAAAAACCTTTGAGATATTTTCTTGGGTTCGAGGAGTAGATTATAGAAAGGGAAGGTATTAGCACCCTTTCTATCCATGGTTATCCATGGGCTCTTAATTACTTGCTTAGATCACTTGCCTTGCATTTTCAATTGTTTGAAATGGTGCTTTGTGTGTGGTTTTGAAAATGTTTTGAAAAAGATGCATTGTCTAGGCAACCGTTGTAACAATTCTTTACTCGAATGTTTTACAAAGGTGTTTGTCTTTTTGAAAAGATGTTTCAATGTTTTTGAAAGTTTGTTTGGAAATTGTGTTGTGGAGTGTGTTTTGAAAAAATGGCAAGGATTTGTTTTGCAAGTTGGTCAAGTAACCAAGAGCTATCTACCCTAAATTTCTCAAAGATCTTTCCTATGTTTTAACCCTTTTAACAGTATTGTTCCACCATTGTATTTGGTGGACAGTCTTGTGTTAGGATGTTAACGGGACGGGCGTGGGTCATCTTTTAGACCATGAATGCAATAGTGCCAAGTGTCTTTGGTAATTTTTCCTTCAAGGGACTTGATCATTCTTTAGGCAACTTGAGAAAGCATCATCGAGGGACTATGATCATTTGATTTGTTTTTGTTTTGCCAAAGACACTCAACATGCAACCTGACTCATTTTTGAAGGCAACAAGTGGAGTAACCCTAGGGGTGTAAGTGTGTATGGTGTTGTCTATTTTCATGCTTTTTTTGTCTTTTGTATTAGTCAATCTATTTGTTATTTGATTTGCATACAAACCCTAGGTCTATCATGGCATAATTTGAAAGCTTTTAAATGCGGAAATTTAAAGTCCTAAATTATTACAACATGATTATGGGGATGGGGGTACAAATGTTTGAATGGGGGGATATTTGACAAGAAATTAAATCTAAGCTATTACATCCATATCGAATATACAAATATTTAATTGTACAAGGTAAAGTAAATACAATAAATATGCAAAAATGTATTATGCACAAAAATGATTTTTTATGTATGTGAAAGTGTTTTTCAATGTGAAATATAAACAAAAATAAAAAGGTCAAATTTTGAATATTTTTGTGGTTTTAGGGTTAAACCCTAGTTTTTAAATAAATAACATTTATTTATTAATTATATACAATATTTATATATTAATTTATACAAAAATAAAAAAAGAAGTATATTGTAAAAAAAAGTATTTTTTGTCACGTATTAATAAAAATAAAAATGCATTATTTTTATATTTTTGTCCTAAGTATTCTAATAAAATAAGTATTTATATTATATATTAAATATACTAAATATATATAAAAAATAAGATATTAATTATTTACAAAAAAAGTATATTTTAAAAATATTTTCAAAATGTAAACAAAAAAATGATAACTGAAAAATGTTTATTTTGTATTATTTTCTAGGGTTTTAAATAAAAAGTATATATATTTATTTACATGTATATGTTAAATAAAACAAATAAATGCCAAATAAATGCAAAAAAAGGGTGGAAAAATATTTTTGGAGTTTTTTATATTTGAACAAAAAATAATAAGTCAGAACAAAAAAAGAAAAATACAAAATGACAATTATTTCACACAATGGGCCAAGGGGGTGCAAAATGGAAAAAGAGTGTGCAAAGAGCAAAACCAACTCAGGCCCAGCCCAAGTCAACCTTCTTCAACCTCCAGCCTTGTTCCAAACTGAAAACGTGCGCTTCACCATGTCCAACACAAACTCCTGATTCTTTGACTTTTAGCAAAAATTCATAACACCAATAATGTAGAGCATCAAGAGACGAATTCATACATATAAAACACTTGACCTAACTCTAAGAAACGAAGGAGAATTTCTTCATCCCCAATTTCTGACCTAATTTTTCTTCAATGTTCATGGCCAAAATTCTCACAGCACGCATAATATAAATGAAAAGTAATCATATGTATGGCTTCAGGGCTATGAGTAGAGCATGTTTCATTCACAAACCTAAGCCTAACTCTTCCTAGATTGAGAGATAGAAGTTCATGTTTTTACCTGTTTCAGCTTGAGTCGTGTACAGCAATGTGGCCAACTTCAATGGAGTTTGAGCTTTTGTACAGCTTGCCTGAAGTCCAAGGATGCTTCTCCAACACCTAGCTTGCTTTGATACTCTCTGAATCGTGCTATGGAAGTTCACCTGCAAAACTGAAAAGTGAAAATGGCAAGTGATGTTAGGGGTGTTACAGTTTGTATCTAGGGCTTGGGATAGTTCCAATGGATGATATAGAATGTATTTGAACTGGTTTTAGCCAAAGTGCACGAGTGGAATGGATTGTGGAAGTCAAACTGCAACAGATGCCCTGTTTTGCAGAAAAACTGTGATTTTCTGTATGGGGAGGGATGAGGGTGGTTTGGTCGTGCTTTAGGCTTGCTTGGATGTATGAAGGATGTTTGCAAAGTTTGTTTTGGTTGGTGTTTATAGGAATCAGAGATTGGAGTTGTTTTGCAATCTTGCTTGTTTTTTGAAGTAAGAAAACTCAAGTCCTTATGCAGGCTTGTATACCCTCTCTATCTATGCTGCACACTTTTCTCTTGATCAGTGGGATTTGCTTACACACTCTTGCCTCAAAGATCTGGCTTGTACTTCTTGGATTTTGAATTTGACATAAAGCACTACTTTTCAAAAATGGCAAATGTGCTTTTTCTATTTAAGGGTTAATTCTTTGTGTAATGACTAAATGCACAAAACAATGCTTGAACACAATGGTTAGGCATTTAATTATGGAGTGCAAACTTGGTTTAGAGGCCTGCAAGCAAGTACCAAGCATGCTGATTTGAAAATGGAACTTGTATGAACATGCATTTGGTTATGAACAAAAGTGAATTTTGCCCAACTTTGCAAATTCGATTCTCCCTAACCACAAGGGTGTTTGAGAAGTTCTTGGACAATTTGGAAAGCTTGGAATGTGTACTACAATCCATATTTGTAATGCAAATTGAAAATCCAAGTGCAAGCTTGTGAAAAATGGCCAAGAAGTTGGACAAAAATCCTGCCTAGAATAGGTCAAAAATTTTCTAAGTTAAAAATGTTTTGCACCCTTGTTCCAAAAATCATAACTTGAGCTACAAGCTTCTTTTGAGAAAACTTTATGAATAAAAGTTGCAGATTTTGTAATGGACTACAATTTTCATGTTTTGAGTTTTGTTTGAATCCATTTGCATCTTGGTGAAAAAATGGGACAAAGTTAGGAAAAAATAAGGAAGTTTCATAACTTAGAAAAATTCTAAGTTATGAAATTTTCTCATCTTAAACCCTAATTTGCAATTTTGGGTTTCTTGATGAAAAAGTTTCATAATTTGACATGTCTTGGTGAAAAATGAATCTTGGCACTTGATTTTGACCAAAAAGTCAAAGTTTGACTTTTCAGTATACAGTCAAATTTTGATCAGTTGACTGAAAAATTCATCTGTCAATCCTATGCATTTGAGATCTTTTGAACTTGTTGAATGGGTAAAGACAATGCCATTGAGTTCTTTAGTACATATGTGAGCTTGGTTTGCCATTGGTTAGGTCAAATAGTCAAAAATTGCCTTTGTGCAGTCAAAAACCTAAAAATGACCATTTTGCCCTTTTGGTGATCTGATCAAATTTCTTGTGGATTTGTGATCTAAACTTTACCAAATGGTTTATATGAGTTCATGATGTTGATGTGGGTCAAAAATCATGAGGTTTGACTGTCAATTGGCCACAATTGACTTTTTCCCCAATACAGCTGATTTCTAGGTCAACTGTCCAATTGACTGGGCAAAGATTGGAGTCAAGGCTTGAAACTTGGTATGGATAAACTTGTAAGTCCAACATGAAGCATGAAAGTCACTTTGGGCATTTTAGGTCAAAACATCTTTGTGCAAACTCAAACCCTAATTTGGGTCAACAATGCAAGGAGGGGGCTTGAGTAGAGCAAACCCTAACTTGATCTTGAGTTCCAAGAGTCTTGTGGTGAGAAAATGTTGATGAAAAGGGAGGGCAAATTTTGGGGTACAACAGTTGCCCCTGTTCAATCTTCTTGCACCTGAAGAGTTAGATTGGCAGGTTTGCCTTTCGCGTCTCGAAGGTAAAAGGAGATTGGACACTAGAGTGCCCTTAAATTTGTACTCGTCAAAACATAGGTGCGGGAATGGGCTTAAAGATGCCATTTGGAGATGGGCTTAAAGATGCCATCTGGAGGGGCGACAGAATCTTGTCAGGGGATGGGCTTAAAGATGCCATCTGGAATGTATGTTGT